AAACGAATCGTTGAGGGGCTTGAAAAATATTTTAGTGCCTCATATGTTGTCAACGGAAGCTAATTTTTGGATATATTATATTGTAAGAAGTTTCCTACTTTTCCTGAAAATTTCATGAAATTTTGAGGTCAATTATTATGCAAACGAATTTTGTTTTGACACTTGCAGCACGAAATAGAAAAACAAAACAGACTGTTTCTTACTTACTGCTAAATATGGTGCGTGCCATTGTTCACGTCAATAATGAGTATATGCATGAAAAATTGATAACTTTTTTTAATTTGTTTCTTTTGTTATCATTTCTCACATCACCTCTTCTCGTAGATCTTTTATACAAGATCTTACAATTGATAGATGTGACACATATGTAATAGGCGTCTAAAAAGTCAAATTGTCAATCTACTTTTTCAGAGATCAAAACTTAAAGCACGTTTGACTAATCTTAAAATACAATTAAAATTGAAAATGTAGCCGTCATTGGGTCTCACTCGTCTAATAAAAGTCAACAATAACGGCTAGTTTTTCAATTTTAATCCGATTTTAATCCCTACCGAACACGCCCTTAGACTCTAAGGTGGCCACTTTTTAGAAAATATTAAATGTCAATCAGGATAATGTCACATGTCTCTTGATCCAACGGTGACAACTTCTCTTTTATTGTAAAAGCTCAAGCTTCTCAAGCCATAACTTTGCTCCCTCACATTATTCTCTTTACTTGTGTACTTCTGGATTTGGACCCCATTATATTGTGGCTTACGTCTTTAGCACGCCCCACATTCAAGTACTTAATTACAAATAGATTGACTTGATAGTGGGAGTGCTCGCCACCACCTCTCCCACTATCGGAGAAGATCATGTGCTCTAACAGTTTATCCATTTGTGTACAAAGAGGCTATGTGCACGTGAAGGAACTGGGAACAGTTGGCCACGTGACCCCTACAATCTTCAAGGCCATAGACTTACTGGTCAAGGATGGTCACAAACTGCCATCTTACATTTCATCTAAACGTGCGGAGAAGTGCTAAGTGTTTGTGTGTTGAAATTATTGTTCAAAATCAATAAAAACAGATTTGGAAGCCAAAAGTTTGCACTATGCGACCGCATAGTCCACGAGGGATGCGGTCGCATGTATACATGCAGGGTTTTCAAGCCCTGCAGTTGAGTCTTCTATCCGACCGCATAGATTTGATCTATGTGGTTGCATGTGTTCTAAAAATAGCCGTTAGGCTGGTTTCCTTATTTGAATTTTTGGTGGCTTTTGGCAAAAGTTTGCAATTTTTCACGAATTTTTGGCATCATTTCGTGGGTATTAATTGAGACCTATATAGATGTCTCATGATCAACACAAATTGCATTAAAAAATCGTTATTGAAATCATTTGAAATTACATTCCATTCCAAAATAGAAAAGATAAAAAAAAATTTCATTCAAATTCCTCCTTGTGTTCTTGAAGTTTTGGTAGAAAATACTAAGGACCTGTTTGAGAGCCTCTATTTTTCTTGGAAGTTGGAATTTTTTTTCCATTTTCCACCTTTTTAATTGTTTGATATGTATAATTTTCTGGGGAATTGGTTTTCCACTTGAGGTGCTCACGTAATCCATTTTCTTGGAAATTGATGAAAACTTTTTCTCACCATTTTGGTGGGAACAGATTTTCCAGACTACTGCTGCGTTTTTTTTTTTTGCAATGAAAACAAATATCATAACCAATTGTAAAAAAAAAAAAGTCACTTTAATGGATAATTTTCATATAAAATAAAGTCAAACTAACACTAAATTTTGATTAAATAAATGATTTTTTAGCAAAAAATTTGTTTTTTTTTTCTTTTTGGCAATGGAAAATTTTTTTATAACTAATTGTGAAAAAATTTATCACTTCAATGGACAATTTCCATGTAAAACAAATCCAAACGAACACAAAAATTAAAAATTTTTCGGATGAAAAATTATACCAATCAAACATACTTAATTAACAATTCCATGTAAAACAATTTCTAGACAGTTATTTTCCCTGAAATTCATTTTCTTTCTACCTATTTTCCACATTTGCAATCAAACGAACCATAAGTGCTTAAGTGTTTTTCTATTATAAGGCTTGATAAATCCTACAAATCATTTGCCAAAAAACCCTTTAAGCACCAAATTTCAATCCGATAGGGGTCAAATACTGTTTGAGGAGAACGGTATAATTATCTTGTTTAAGCCTTTTGATTCTTCTTTGATGATCATGATTATTTGTTTCTGGTTTCTTCTCCAACCCCTTCAAGTGGAAGAGCAATATTTTCCTACAATCTCTAACGATATTTCTGTGATGGAGAATGAAACCACCATGATTGCGACCAAGTGATGAATCCATATTCATGAATTCGAATTCGATAAATCATTACTTTGTCTTCTCTACTATTTCGGTAAGTCTTCAATTTCATGAACATAAAATGGTACGCATTAATATGAATATAATATGCACATTATCGGTGTAATATCCCCAACAAATCTTAAGATGAATTTTTTGTGTGCATATTAAATTACACGTGCAATAGATATGAAGATATTACATGAATGAAATTTAAAACAGATTTTTGATGTATCATGAGTGTGGTAAATATGTTCTATTGCAACATTTTAATTAGGAAAATTCATGATACCATCAACTTGTTGAATGAGTCGATAAAATAATATTCCAATTTATGTTCAGGGTAATGAATATGTGTATTATAGTGATTAAATGCACATAATCAATAGTGATTCTATAACGTGGAATCATTCATTTACATTTGAATTCATTTCATATTGCTTTATGGACATAACTCACTAAATGGATATTAATATATATGGTATGCAATTTGTTTACGTGTCGTTTGTGTGTAGAAAATAGACAAGTTATAATATTCTGCTTATAAATGATAGAAGTTGTTATAAGCAATTTGATAATATTGGTTTTAGTATTTTATGCATATATCCATTGCTAGTGCTTATGTGCATATTTTGTTTATGGAAATGATAGAAGAGATTTACTCTATACTCCCTTTCCACGGACGGTGGGAACTTGCATGACTTTTGTGACCATTAGTTCGTTTATTTACCGTTGCCTACATTTATGTCAAATCGGTTTGTGTCGACTATTATGAATTCCAAATAAGTTGCGTTTGTTTGGGTATGCAAGAACAATTGGAATATTTGAAATATATTCATAAAATTGAAATACATTATAATGTTAAATACCCATAATTCTAAAAATCACTAGTAAATATTTACTAGTGTAGTGTTTGATAGAAATCCTCCAATCGTGATTGAAAATTGATAGAACTTTAGATAAAGCCAGTGAGAAGCATATGGCTTCGTAAGAGATTTCTTGGTGGGTGACAATTTGTATCTATTAAATAAATCGATCGTTAACTAACTATATTTGATGAAATACTAAGTCATCTGCAATGGAAAGTCTAGATATATGAGTCTAATACATGACTGCATAAGGAAATTAATCAAGAGTTGAATAATTTCCCTATATTATGTTAAGTCAATAGAGAACTTAGCGGATTCTTTAACTAAACCTCTAAATAGAGATTTAGTAATATCTACATTGAGTAGAATGGGGTTGAAACTTAAATCAAAAGATCCACTAATGGTAGCAACACTACATATCCTTACTTAACAAAGTAATTCACGAATTCAAAGGGTAACAACAAATCATTCGATAAGTGAACAATTTCATCATTATAAAATTTACAATAACCCTATCCTAATTATATAATGCTGGTTGTTACTGAAGTGAGGGTTGAGCTTTAAGCTCTTAACGAAGTTTAGTACGAGGTACAAGTATCTCTAAAAAGTAATAAAGATACTGAAAGAACTTCACCTAGATAAACTTCGAGGTGGTGCCGCCTC